AGTGTGACGAAGACCGAGTGGCTCTTCAGCATGACTTAGAACGTCTGGTGGCCTGGTCCTCTGAAAGGAGGCTTTCGATCAACCCGGCCAAATCAGAATACATATGCCTGGGAAAGCCAATTTCAGATCGTGTATATCATCTAGATGGCCAAAAATTGAAATCGGTCTCATCAATCCGAGACTTGGGCATTGAAATCCGTTATGATTTAAAGTCGAAGGACCACACGAGCGCTGTGTATGAGAAGTCTCTTCGCATTTTGTGGGCATTGAAGCGAAGTTTTTCGATGTGGACGGAAAAGTTAGTTTTAAAACTGTATCCCACAATGATCCGGCCTATATTGGAATACGGTGCACCAGCCTTCTCCCCACTTACGAAAGCCGAAGCCCGAAACCTCGAACGTGTCCAACACCTCGTTACAAAGATGGTTCCCAATGTGCGGAGTCTTTCTTATTCTGAGAGATGCAGCAAACCGAAATTGCTCACACTTGAATACAGACGTCTCCGGATTGATCTCATCTATGTTTTCCGTGTTTTGTGCCTAAACCATTTTCCGCAGTTGATGTTCTTGTTTGACATTCCAACTAACCAACATCACCCGAGGACATCGATTTAAACTGTCAGTCACACGCACCTTACAGCGTTTTCTTTAATTTTTTTTATGGCAATTGAATAGTTGCTACGGATTATGCTTCGCTAATAGTGGGTCACTGACATCGATTTAAACTTACTGTCACACGCACCTTACAGCGTTTTCTTTAATTTTTTTTATGGCAATTGAATAGTTGCTACGGATTATGCTTCGCTAATAGTAATTGGGTCACTGTTCGAGCGTTCTTCGCTCGACTGTTCTTGTACTTAGTCCGCAAAGTGTTAGCTCTACCAGGCCCCCTTAGTCAGAAAGCACTCAGCCTCCTCTAACACGCGAAACCCTACCAAAAACGCTTGTCCCCTAAAAGCTCCGACTAGCTACCAACTTTCACCGAACCTTAGGGGCACCCGAGTAAGCCAAGGACCGAATAACAGCTTCTGTTTTCCTATTCTTAGCCAGAATCAGCTGAAAATTTTTAGCGTCCAAGTGTGGTCCATTCGGTTCTCAAGGTCGGGCAAGCCAGAGATGATACGCTCTTAGGTAGCTTTTAGTTCATATTGTTTTTTAGGTTTCTTTGACAAGATTATCACACTTTTGGGACCGCGATTCCGTTACTTTTCTAGAGGACATATTTTGCCTTCATTTCTGACGTTTTGGATAAAATATGGAAGTTTGAAGTCGAGAAGTCCAAAATTCACGGATTCACGGATTGGTAGACAGGATCGAGGCCTTGGCCCAAGTTTCCCGGGTCGCCTTTGTTCTCGTCGGTCAGTGACTGTCATTCACTTGAAAGGGACAAGTGGAAAAAGGGCGTTTCACTGATCTTTATGTTTTCAGCGTGGGGCAGTATGCTTGCCAGCGCGAGGATTCGCATTTATAAATGTCTATTAGTGCTTTAAACTGGGTTCTAGAAGGTCGGAGGAAGGTCATTCCACGCAGCTACTACCCGAAATCAGAAAAAATTTTGTCTAATGAATGTGTGTGCTCTGAGCTTGAAAAATTTTCTCCTATGTCCCCGCCGGGTGTTTGCTGGATCAACGGTGAAAAACCTGTTGGCCAAGCTTTGTTCAAACAGGGCACAAGTAAGAATTAGGTCTCCCCGGAGGCGTCGATACACCAGGGGAAAGAGATCAAGCATCGCGAGACGCGTTTAGTGGTTCACGGATTTGCGGCCGGTAACCATTCTCGTAGCGACTCGCTGGACACGCTCAATAAGGTGACGTCTTTCGTGCGTCCTGAGTAGACATCTTGGTTAGCGTACTCCAGGAGCGGTCCTTGCGATTAATAAGGGAGAAGGAGCGTCGGATCATCCGTAAAATGGCGAATGCCTTTTGGGCCGATTTCTCATGGTGCAATGAGAAGGACAAGTTTGAGGAGACCCAGATGGCCGAATCCTTTTTGGCATCCATCCTCATGATGTTTTCTGGTCCTTTTTCACCATGCATAACAAAGGCATTCGTTGAATCCCCTTCAAAAGACATATGGATGCACTTTTCGTCATTCAGAGGAAGGTGCACTCACAAATGGGTCACTTCGGGCTCACCAGTTATTAGTGCACCGGTGATGACAGCCATAATACAAATCAGAAGCTGAATGTGCACTAATAGAAGTCTATAACATGCTTGCGACACGTATAAAATAAATGCAATGTGAAATGGGAGCAAGTCAAAAAGAACTTTTCGTGTATGAGAGTCCCTTGGTGAAAGTCCGGACGGCGGCAACGTGTTTTCTCCGCAGTTTGGTTGCTACACGTGTTCCAAGATTGTCCGTGGACTTGTGGAGAGGTTGACGTCCTGCTCCCTGCGCGCGCGCGAGTCTGTTTGCGTGTGTGTTGACTGGGTTTGGTTTCTCTTTATGTAGGTCCCAGGGCGTAAACGTGGGCGCGTCGGCACATGAGTGGTTGCTAGGCTGGCTAGGCGGTGCCGACAATCGATGTCCGATGAGTCAGCTTAATGCGACGTGTTTGTGCGCATGAGAAAAAAGAAAAGCCTCGCGATCCAGTGAGCGACCGTGAGTTGAACAATCAAGTTTGTGGGTGATTGGGTAGCTACAGGGTGAGTGGATGCGGTAATCTCCTTCGCCAGTGACATACCGTTTTAAAGGGAGTTTTGGGGCTTGGATTCCAAAGGCTGGAAACCAAGGCCTGAATGCTGTTGAGGGTTTTCAAATCACTTGGGCTTTTTCCTATGTTATAAGAAACCTTGGCGAAAATCAAAGCATTTCAGCTGCCTGTTAGTACTCATTCGGATGGACTCATACCCCTGCTCAAGGAAGAGGTCAGTCTTTTATCGAAACCGATACAAAAGTTCATGACCACCGGGACACAGTTATTGTTGGTCTTATCCACACAGTCAGGTATCCGTTCGTCAACCTGAACGTAAGTGACCGCTCAAGTCAAATATACAGGGCGATACCGACGAGACCATTCTATTGGCCGCCCAACCAGCCTCATTATAGTGAGCTCCATTTTTCTGGCGGGAACTATTATCAAGCACATCCAATACAGTCATCCTTTATGAAGGCTCTTGGGCTGCCTCAAACACTGTCGCATCCTATCTTTAACATCTAATCAACTTTGCACCCTTTTGCTTTGGGCTCAGTAATATTCGTTACAAAAAGCCAGTGTCTTGTCAAACCAACCAAAAATATTCCAAATAATTTGGTACATCCTAGAAAAGGTCTGCAGGCTTTTCTCTGGAATAACAATCAAAAAGTATCCTGAGTGGAAGGTGGCATCTCGCGAAATGCCGAACCATCGACGGAACCCACATAAGCTGGCCAAAAATTAAACCGTACCTTTCAAGTTCATGCCACCAAGTTGACATTCCAAAAGCTCTCACCCCGGAGACCAGAAATGGAGATCTGACGAAATGCCAGTCCCCTGGGGCCAGAGAATATAGAAGGCATATGCGAGCAAGAATAAGCTACAACCACTCTCTAAACGGTCCACACCCTATAATGGAAAACATCGGCAAATGTTTACACAGAGCGATCTTCTTCAAAGTCCTGAGTGATGAAATGCGCTCATGCTCAGGTTAGTCAAACATTTCCGTCTTATTGCTTTCCAGTCACTTAAAAGCATCTACCTTTTGTGAGAAAGGACGCGGTTGTCGGACAGATCTTTGAAGTTCTTGAACTCACTTTGCTAGAGGCCAGATAGGTTCACTGGTATACAACGCAATGTTGTCAAAGTACTCTAAAGTGGACCATTTCAACTTACTTCTTCGGCAAGAGCTTTATCTCTGGCTCCACGTGGGCTGCCTCCACACAAGTTTTATGAAATTATTGATTTTAGATTCTCCGACACAACCTGAAGTTATGAGACATTCAAATATTAGCACCCTGCAATCACTCGATCAAGATTAGCTATTATTAATTAATTACTAACTCAAACCTTGTGAGATTTCAGGTGAAATTTTCGCTTAAACAGAGCCTTCCTTCCCGGAGGACATTTTGCCTGACAAAAGGGGCGATTTACTCCCATGCTGAACTGGCCACGATTGTGGTTTTGCCAGGTCCCGCACCGGGACCGCCAAAATTTTATATCTGCTTAAATGACCTTTATGATGCATCAGCGAGGGCGACCTGTGACCTTGAGGTCCAATCCCGGCGCACAACCCATGGATACCAACACAGTTTAGAGGGACCATTTGAGTGGCACTTTGCTCTATACAACGAAGTGTTCCAGAGTTACAGCAAATAACATAATCGAACAAGCGGTGCACCGGACAATATTGCGAAAATTGTTTGCAAAGTCGATGCCACAAAGGGGTCAGTCTGTTTCGAAGACGTCCACTATATTCGCTTACGAAAAACCATTCCGGATGAAGTTTTTTGAACGATTTAGCACACTTTGCACCACCTAAACTTCTTAAAATAGGCCAAACAGGCTGATTGTGAATAAAAACGGTGAACCGTCAGAAAGCATTCTAAGGGAGCTGATAAGGAGATGGTTGCAGGGCGCGATATTGCAGCCAGTTAATCCCTAAAATACTTCATCCAGATGGCTTTTGCCTCAGCAG